TGCACCTCTGAAGCAACAAGAAGCGGAGATGCAAGTGAGAAGTGCTGAGTAGGCAGAGCACAAGCCAAGGTAAAGATGATGCTTCCTTCAACCCGCTCTAGAACTCCTTCTCGTCCTCCTACTCAAACTTGACCTCGTGATCAAGAAGCTTGTTCACGTCCTCGCAAAGGATACTCTGCAGGGGTAGCAAGAGAGTGAGAGGAGCACAGCAGCAAGAAAGGAGGAGGAGGAGGAGGAGGAGGAGGAGGAGGAGGAGGAGGAGGAGGAGGAGGAGGAGTAGGAAGAGGAGTAGGAGTAGGAGGAGGAGGAGGAGGAGGAGGAGGATACCTGGTCGCTGAAGCGACTGTCGCTCTCAATACGTAGATCGCAGACGTGCCAGCAGCAGAGCTTCTCGTCCTTCTCTGCCTTGGCGACTCGATCGAGGCAGCTTTGGGCGTCAAGCTTGAAGGTTTTCCAGATGCCGTTGAACATGATGATGGTGACGAGAGGGTTGCAGGCGAAGATCTAGGAGATAGTCAGGAGAGGAGGAGGGGGGAGGAGGAAGGAGACGGAGAAGGGAGGAGGAGGAGGGGAGGTGAGATGAGAAGGAGAAGGAGAAGATATGCAGCAGCAGAAGAGCAGGAGAGAAGCAAGAGGAGCAGGGAAGCGGCTGTGGTCGTGGTGTAGGAGGAGAGGGGGGGCAGCAAAGTTGGAGGAGGAGACCTTCTTGTCGTCTTCGCGGTTCATGACGTAAAGTTTGAACTTGCCCGACATGCTTTGTGTGAGGCTGATGACTTTTGGACCGAAACCTTCATGTACTGCCGTCTCGTAGCGAATGTTCTTCAGGGAGGGAGCCTGGAGAGAGCGTGAGGGAGAGGGGAGGGGAAGAGCGGAGAGGAAGGGAGAGAGGAGAGGAGGGAAGAAGGGAGGGCGAGAGAAGGAGGAGACAAAAGAAGTAACAATGTTGGGGTTGAGGAGGAGGCGCCGGGCAGAGTTGAAGAGAAACTCGCGGGAGAGGAAGGCGACAAAGGAGGAGGAGATAACGGAGTAGAGGAGCAGCCATGAACTAAGAGGATGGGGAGGGGCGTTACCCTGCTCTCGTTCTTGGTTGAGGAAATTATGCCGTCCTGTCTTGTTGTGAGTGAAAGAGTAGAGGCGGGAGAGGAGGAGGGAGAGGGGGAAGGGGAAGGTTGGCGGCCAGGCGACCGACACGGACGGAAAATGGCATGATGATGATGATGATGATGATGATGATGATGATGATGATGATGATGATGATGATGATGATGATGATGATGATGAT